TGCGTGCCGGCCTGTACGTACAGGCAAGCTGGTGTATCCTAATGTCACAGTATTTTGTTGATGAGAATCCGTCCGACTTTTTTTATAGGTCCATGATTAAACATTACGGACTAAAAAATTTTTTTTAGGCAACTAGCCTATTAGGCTTTTAAAAAGTTCTTCTACTCGTCCCAGTATTAGTCTAACCCTACCAGAGGAGAATAAGTTTTCGCTTAAGTTTTAATTTATATTTTGATTTGTTGAAACTTGAACAGATATTTGCAGTTTAGAGGTGGAATTGTGTAATAAAGCAATCGTAATTATTTGACAGTTCATAACTTACGATAAAATCCGTTATACAAAGCGTTTGACAGAATAATCGTACGTTATGAACTGTCAAATGATAACGATTGCTTTACACAATTCCACCTCTGTTTTAGATCCTAGCATAACTAAAGCATATCAGAAAAGTATGAAGTTGTTTTTCATAACATCGTTATTGTTAATCAAACATGATAGTTATCTAAAAACTAAATTATTCAGGGAATTCTCAACAAGCGAAAGCGTAATAGTAATCCCTTGCCAGTTCAAACGAAGCGTGACTATCGCGCGGGCGCGCCGTATTAATTAAGACGCTGTGAGGGACACACAGGATTATCCCCGTGATTGCTTTACGGCGTGTTTGTTATTCACACCGCGGCGGCTTAGCACGCCACGATCTTGTTGCGGGATAACACTTTTGGAAATATCGGTTCTTGCACACTGGAAATAAATATCCTTGGACATTTTACACTGCGCCTCTAGTCCCAAACTAAGCAAAGTTTGTACTATGGGTACTAGACAACGGATATAAACTTAAATACTTTTTTTTGTAAATACATACATATTATACATAGTTACACCCAGACCCGTCACAGAAATTAAAATTCATTATTTCAATTTCTGCCCGGCCGGAAATCGATCCCGGGACCTCTTGAAATAGTAGTCCGTTCTGAACCACTATATCAAACGGCCGACAAATTAATGTTAACTACTTACCTTCAAAATGTATCTCATACTTATTCTCACTTAATTACTGTCTACTACTAAAACACCAGTTATGATTATAGGCACGGTTAAAAAGGTGGTGCAACTTAGCCTTACTTAGTTATCAAAATTATTTCAATTTCTATTCCACGTTGAAAATTTAGAAAACTTTTTAATGGAATCGTAATGTCGTACTTGTTTGATTCCCAAATAAATAAATGAAATAACGTACTCATACTACTCATATCGGATCATGTAAACCTCACTTCAAACTACGTTAATCTGGGCGGCGCTGTTGAAAATTTATGGATTTACACTATCAAAGTAAACAGAGAGGAATTATTATGAAAAGGCTGGTATTTGGGTGTTTACAAAACAATTTCGCATTAGTACGGGTATAGTGTTAAGCCCCTACAGTGACACCATTTTCTATTATCTATTTATTAATGGACAATTTTGAATGTTAATATTCTAATGACATTTTAGAATTATGTAGGTAGGTATATGTATTTCATGTAAGTTGGATTAGAAATTTTGAACTAATGTGCTAATGCTGCCCGCCCAGTTTATTTTCTCAAACTATTTAAAACTTTATCTAATATTTACTAAGCTAAACAGTTACAGTATCTACTCGTACCTATCAATATTGAGTAGTATATAACCTTTATTGACGCGATTTTTCTGAACTTACTTATATTCATTATTTATCAAAACAAATTAATTGTGCCTGTGGCAACATTTTTATATCCAAACCCTATTATTGGTGATCTAAATGCAAATAGAGGCGATATATTTGCATAAATCTGAACACAATGTGTTTACTTTTAACTTTGCGTTGGGTGGCGTAATGTTAACAGGGAAATTAACACGAACCAACGGTAAAACAAATGCGTTGAACACTTTTTCATTATTGTGTTCGCTTAAAATTACGAATTATAATTGGGTACCCTGTAGAAAATGGAAAAGTAAAAACATAATTACAGACCCATTGGAAACATCACAATGAATAATGACAAAGCTGATTGGTCATTTGGAACAATAAAACGGGAAAGTTTGCCAACGCAAAAAAGCTCTGGCGTCTGACAGGTCCGGAACAATCCTAATTACTCATTATTCGGAAGTAATCGGAAAGAAGTCGAAACTCGTCGGCCAACGAGAACCTTAATCGAATTTGTGCGACTAATCGAGGGAATTAGTGAGGGCCAGTGATGTTCGCTAACTGGACCTAGATATTTTTGAAACTAACAATAAGATTTGTTGACTGCGAACTAACTAATTAACTTGCAGATATTTAGTATGTAAACATCAATTGAACGTAAGATTTAATTTTACGCATGATTCTATTTTGATACTTTTTGAAAAATACTGTAACTTTTAACTATAGATTAACCACAAATATTGAAACTGATAACTAAATACTTTTTAAAATAATAATAACGTTGTTTTATACTGAGCTCATTATGTAGCCAAGTAGGGAACTTGACAAATCTTTTAATCACAAATAAATATTTTTCTTTCGGGAGTTAACACTCGGGTTAAAATGCACATCACTAGAGGGCCCTCATAAAGAAGGCGCCTTGTTGCTGTCTCCGACAGCCGCTTTGTGGACAGGAAAGAAAAAACTCTTAATTATTTTGGCACGCCGAAGCCCAATAATTGCTTGTTCAAAGCAACTCAAATGAGTGCCGATTCAAATTAGTAGGTATTTAGTTAATTATTTTATAGTTTATTCATCAGCCGCCTACATGATTCATTAGGAGGTACAATCTAGTTTATTAGACTTTTGTATGATTCCATTTTATTGTTTGGACCTAAATAAAAAATCAGCTATTAAAGAATTATTTAGTTTTTCATTGCTGTAAGTAGGTACTCTTGTTATTGTAAGAAATGTTCTTCCGATGCTTTTTATATGAAAAGAGATTTAAAAACTTGCATTTCTAAACATGAAAAACATAGTTCAATCACAGCGCTATTGCCCCTGACAAACTGTAAGTGGCTTTCAAAGGAAAATTAAAGATTTTTCCGAAGCCAATAATCGGCGATCAGAGAGATTAATATCGATATAAGTTTCCGCTCAACTGGCAACTTTCCAGACTTGTATCGCGGTGTTTGAGTTCCAATAGTTCCAGTTAAAGGCGGTAGTGGAAAGATTGACTTGCCACTGAAGGCACGCCGAGCAGTTTCTTAGAAGAAAATGAAATATGAATTTATGAGAAAATTGCAATACAAAAAGTTAAGTTCTAACCCACATAAACTGTTATGAAAAAGTGATAGAGTTAAAATTATGGTCTTGACATTGTGAGCAGAAAATGTTCATGCGACTTTTCCTTCCACAAAACGAGGGTTGGTAGGTAAGTAATATCAAGCTAAAAATATAATTTGGCAAGATATTGAAATAGTTGCAAAGGACCGGTTTTTGTGGAAATCTTTGGAAGAGGCCTTTGTCCAGCAGTGGCCGTTATTCGTCTGAAACTAACGGACGAACGATGCACAAAAGTACAAGTAGTATAAAGTTATGGTTACTACCTTTCGCTCCAAACTAAAGCCTAAATTGCAAGAAACAATTTTCGTTGCGAAGGAAAGCCAATAATATGTTAACGGCTGCAGCCGGCCGCGCTGGGACACCGAGATAGATGCACACTTTGTCGGATACCCGCAACGAATATACAGGGTGTTAGGTAAATGGGTATATGAGCCGACACTAGGCCATGTTAACATGGGCATATAAATGGTATGGTGAAGTCAGAAAATTGATATCTTCATTTTAATTATTTTAATTTTCATACTAATCGGATTTTATAAAATTTATTTGTATGAAAATTAAAAAAAAATAAATAATAAATCAATTTTCTGACTTCACCATACCATTTATATGNAGGCCATGTTAACATGGGCATATAAATGGTATGGTGAAGTCAGAAAATTGATATCTTCATTTTAATTATTTTAATTTTCATACTAATCGGATTTTATAAAATTTATTTGTATGAAAATTAAAAAAAAATAAATAATAAATCAATTTTCTGACTTCACCATACCATTTATATGCCCATGTTAACATGGCCTAGTGTCGGCTCATATACCCATTTACCTAACACCATGTATTCAGGTACCTACGCAATATATGCCTGGATATTTACGAAGTTCGGGTAGGCGTGCTTTTTTTAGATATTCTGGCACGTACCTACCACATATTATTTTGTCTAAAGATAAATTTAATTTAGGCGTAAATACACGTCTGGATTTACCACCTTTTACCTTTACTAAAAAGAATTGTAAATAATATTAAAGCTCAGATGATTGAAAAAACCACCGAATACTTTATTTACTACTACGTGTCAGATAATTAAATTACACCATCAACTACCTACATGTATGTGATAAAAAGTTGTTCGCCACGCGAATTACCGGTGCGATCGTACCGGTAGCATTGTAATTTAACTAAATGTCGGTATACCAAGTTAAAAACTTAGGTCTAATTCTGACACACGCAAAAACACCGTAAAAAGGGAGTTAGTTCTCCTCGGCGAGGCATTGAAGCGATATCAGTGCTGTAACAGTTTGATGCAAATGTAGAACGGGCTAGCAACCGCGCGATTATCGCTGTGTCTGAACCAAGCCTTAAAGGTTCGGCTAAACCAACGCGTGCAGCCTGCGTGCGCGATGACGATGACGATGGCGTATGAATTTGTAACGATAAGTTCATATCAACGCGTCCTGTCATTGGTCGCGGCGCTCTATGCACGCGCAGTGGCGGCGTAGCATGGGTTGGCACCCGGGGCGATTACACCCCCCCATAATGGTCGGTCTGTCACCCTACCCCAGAATGGTCTGGTGCCCCCCGATTTTTTGGTACCGATTCGAAGAGATGTTAGTACGAATGAGCTATGATACCAATCGCACCCCATAATATCATGACCGTCCTTGTCATGCAGATGCGTCAGGAGTACCAATTTGCGCGACTGTTGTTACCGAACCATTTAATTGGAACTGACCTGCCTCCGCGGCGATGGGAGCCAGCACGGCGCCGTCCTTGAACCACCTGGTGACGGTGACGTGGGCGCGCACCGGCGGCGGCACCGAGCACGTGAGCAGCGCCGCGCCGCCCGCCACGCCGTGGCTCGCCTGGATGCGGGCCTCCCACTGGACGTCCATCACTGCGAAAAATTGGCCAATGTTATTTCTATTCATAATCATCATAATGTCAGCCACAGGACGTCCACTGCTGAACATAGACCTCCCCCAATGACTTCCACATCGCACGGTTGGTAGCGTCCTGCATCTAGCACCTTCCTGCTACCTTTATCAGGTCGTCGATACAGCTTGTGGGTGGACATCCCACGATGCATTTTCCGGTACGTGGCCTCCACTCCAGGCTGCCACATCGGCCGTTAGTTCGTCAGTTATTACTATTATATGTACATAACATTTTACAAAAAATCTAGAATTAAAAACGAAAAAAGATACCAAATGGGTTTCTTTGAACAATCCATAAAGTTCATATTCCTTAGGATCAATCACACGTAAACATTATTACAACACAGATTTGTATCACAATTACATACGTATTAAAATTGGTATGTTTCTTAAAATAAAACAAATCTACTAAAAACATCACGTTCCCGCCAAGGAAATGAAAAAGAACAAAAATATAAAAACAAAATACGATCGAATTACTTTCAGAAAACGAAAAAAGTTTCTAGATGGCCAGTACGCGGCTAATGAGTTTTATACCACCTACGGCGTTCACTACATTACCATTACTTACAACATGTAGGCCCTCGTAGGCCGGTGAAGAATAAAATAATACCTCCTATCACGTGATAATACCTCAACACAAATAGTTACTTATGCACTTAAAAAAATTAAGATTGTTACCTTGTTACACGTCCGATCCTTTCATGGTCACTAACGTCTATTGATAAAAATAATCACATAATTTCAATATCAAATGACACCACTAATTTCGGCGCAGCCGCACGCACCATGAATTGATCACGGGTGAACTGAGATGAACGCGGGTGAGCGTTTATTGGCAAGTAAATTGGTCTACCCTCTTTTAAATATTTTATTTCTTACGACATCGGTACCATTGTTCACTAACTCACTCGTTGTTCTCGATCTCAATTCACTTACTTTTTTCGATGTTCTAATTAATTAACTATTGAATAATTTATGATGAAATTATATTTCATGTAATCTTGAGGATTCTTTCTGAGTATAAAATAGCGTGCTATAGAAATCGTTATATAATTTTGAAAGTTCGACGATGTAGAAATAGATTTTTGGGTATCATTGTTTTTGGCTGCTTTTAAGTAATATGTGCTTTTCAATACCACAAGCACTTAAATTTTCAAGTCATTTGTAATGATGGGCGAGACAACTGCGCTGAAATATCAATTGAATTTGATGTCAATTGAAAGATATTAGGGCACCTTAATTATGTGTAATAATTGTTTCTTGCATGATGTATTCTTGACACATTCGAGTTATTTCTATGTATTATACTCGCTTCACGTGCGAGTCCCGCTGTCACTGTATAACCCGTTACCCGTTTTTGTCGTCACGTCTCGCGCCGTCACGCGTGACGGGAACGTAATTAATTAGTGGCTTTAGGCGATTCGGGGCTGCATTGTTGCAATTATAATGTCGGCTGAAGGATTAAGGACATTGTTTAGCAAACACCCACGCTAGTTTAATAATAGGATTATTTGAATACGCCTGAATTATTGTGTAACAAGTAAGCTATACTTGGTGGTAGTATTAACTCTAAATAGAAATAGCTCAGTTACGTGTACATCTACGTAACGTTACGTGCTTAAAAATCTTTCATAGGTTTTAAAGTAAAATGAATTTTCGCAAAAAGAAAGAATTGATTTTTTTTAAGTTCGATAATTACTGATATAACTCCAGGGAAATGGTTGTACCTATGTACTGTACGTACTGTAATGGTTGTGTGCCAGTTACGCGCGTAAGTTATGATGGAAAAAATATGTGAACCAAATACCTATTCACATAATTGCGAAATAAGAACTAAGTATACCACTTGCTTTGAATATTAGTATGCGGTTTTAGAAAGTAAACTACACGGAAGTTTCATGATAAGACATTTCAAGGCTCTCTTGATCTTAGTGTAAGGATCAAGTTGTTATCTTAGTAATTTTAGACTTCACACAAGATGGCCATACTTAGGCGTCTATTTTAGTTGAACGAGTACCTACAGTTTGAAGTTATCTGTGACTGGCGGCTGTTGTGCTGATCATTATTTTAGGTATGAATTTAATTTACAAGATGTCTATCCATCCAAAATCTACGCAAGGTCATGCATCTAACTACTTGGAGTACCCACACAGAAGTAAGGAGGCTGTAGGCCTTTTCAAAAGTTTTTTCTAATATTATGACTGTTCAAATTGGCTATGCTAATTTTTGTCACCGTTACAGTATATCTTTCTCCTTTACAGTTTTATAAAAAGAAAAAGAGAACGTACTTGTAGGTATTCTTATCTATGGAGAGTCATACTGTCACGGTGACAAGTCTCCCGTGCGCGCGCGCGCCATAAGTTGTCAATTAATCCTACCTTCTTTTTTTCACAAAAAAATAAATAAATCTATTAGATTGTATTTAGTTAGATAGTTCCAACAGACATTAGGCACTTAGGTGAGCACAGTGGAATTAACCTTAATACCTAATTCGTCTCGCATTCTCGAAGACTAAAGTTTGTATCAAAATCTAGTAACTTGACAAAAATGTGAAATTAATCTTGAAACTACCAGATAAGCGTCATAATTATATTATGTTCCTTTGAGCAACAAAAAGTTAATTACTTGGAAGCGAACAAGGTCGAATTATACAAAGAACAGCTGGCGTTTATTGCCTAGAGTGTTGTAACAAAATCTGACTAAAGTGACAACAATCTTGTAATTTATTGGGTGTGCCTACAATTTCTTACACGTGGTAGGTAATCTTTTTGTAGGGTAGCCTATATTCACGATTTTTTTCCTGTGCATGCAAAGAAGCTCGTCTCATACCTACCTACTTATAGGTTAGGTCCATAAATAGGTAGGTAATTGGGGTCTTTCGATATTCTAGAAGGCCATTGATTACATTGTTACAGTCATCTACACCACATGTTTGTCACCTACCTACAAAGATTAACATTTATTCAATTAATTTCTGTTCTGTATCGTGCCCTTAATGTCACTCTGTTACGTTTTCGTCCTAATAAGCATGAAGCCGTCAATATTTTTTTTTTCTTGAAACAGTTTTAATCTACCCTCTGCATTTAACCTCCGTAATCACTGCCAAAGCTGGCACTGCACTCGTGATGGAGCAATGGTGCTAAATATTTGCATTCCAAAACACTAAAGAGAACAGTCGTCACACTCATAACATAAAGTCGTTCCAGCGAGAAAAAGTTAATTACTCGGAAGCAGCGGCCGGTACTTCGCGGCAGCTGTGCCGACACACGCGACCCCTGGAGGTGCTGGGATATTAATTTTTGAGCCTTGAGCGTAATGTGAGCTCGTAACAAGAATAATCAGGGAAATGAGAGAATTTAAATTTCACATTAAACTAGTCTGCGAAACAACAATTGCAAAGTTAGAAGTACTTTCCAGAATATGACTTAACGTGTCTGTTAACGCTGTTACGCGATGAAAAAGAAGAATGATAAACAAGTTTTAAAGAAAAAAAAACTTATAATAATATTCATATTAAATGAAACTTTCTATTTTCTAAATGTTTTTACCTGTAACGTAAATATTAAATCATCAGTTAGGTAGGTACTTAACTATTGTCACAGAATAAGTAATAGTACAGGTACAGAAGGATTACTCCGCAAGACGATTTAAATAAATGCGAGTCTTGCTACGACGCGATACAGTGGAATTCAGCTCGCACAGCACTACGTACCTACAATTTTATTCACCTACAAGTTTTGTCTCTTTCTATCGCGTGCCTCTGAACTCTTCTTACGCTGTTAGGGTTGCTGTCTAGTGAAAAAATAATTAATCTACTTATTTGTAATGAGGTACGTATGTAGGTAAGTATGCATTCATTATGGAAAACCTTCATAGTAGGTTAGGTTCCTATACTATCCTAAGAATTATTGATTACCTACATGGCCAACATACCTTTCAGCATCTTTGGGAAGCGAAAAAAAAAGATAAATCCGGTAGATTACTTTTCGAATTTAAACACCCGAACGCCGCACAATATTTCTTTCTCTTTATGTCCATTTTTAAATAATACTTCGATCATAGAATTATAATCATACTACAACGCATGCCAGCGTCCTGACGAGCGCGCGCGTGACACTCGACTGATATAATACCCGCCGGCGGGGCGCTTCGCTGTAGGTAATTATCGGATGTACCGCGCGGAGTGAGCCAGGCCTGCTATTGTTTACCTTCATCGCTTTAGGCTTCAACCATACCAACGCATGCAGATCGTCATCGCCGGCGCGAATGACAGGTGACACAGGTGACCTGTCATTGGCCCATGATCGCGCCGGCTATAGCGATCTGCATGCGTTGGATTGGATGAAGCATTAGATTCAAGCTGGTAAATGCTCTAAGTAGATTTATCGTTGATCAGTAACATCAGTTCGTCAGCGAGTTTATCTTTACCCTCCAAAAGAGCGAAGGGCCCTCGACGCGAGTGGCGTGTAATGGCCGCCTTTGTCTCAGGAGCCGCGTGCGTGCACGAGAGGACGCTCGGATTCACTCGACGTGCTTTCGGTTGCAATAAATATAAAACAGTCACCAGCGGTCGGTAGACACAGCTGGCACCAATGAAAAAAAAACATTCTAACAAACCTACGTGGTATAAATTTTTTGTGAAAAATAAATAATTGAACGAAAGATTGAACGGCATATTTTTGATAGCGTTTTGTTTGTGTATCCTTTTATAAATAAGTATTTAATTTTTGTAAATGAAAATTAAAATTACAAGGAAAACAATAAAAGAAAAATATCACCCAAACAATAATCAAAATAAGTATTAAAATTTCAGTTTCATGTTTGCTGAAAGCTTTTTACAAAATTTTTCATTTCTTCCAAAGCCATCTTTTTTTGAAAATATAGCCACTTTCCAGTCGTTATTTTGTTGCCTTTTTATATGAGAATTTCGCCCAAGCAGGCTTCAAGTGGAGAAAAC